TGAAACACCACCAGACCGCATGCTACGTCGTACATACTGCCGCTTCACTGGGGAATATTCATTCTCACTGTCACTAGAACTGCTTTCAATGACCTTGAAATCACTATCACTATCACTATCACTGCTATCATCAGGGTGTTGTACACGACCAAATAGTTTTCTCTTTCGTCCTGGTACAGGCGAACGTGAACGTGAACAAGCCGGCCCAGCACCAGAGGTGGAAGGTTGTGGGTCATCTGGGTTTTCATCACTAATTACATTATTCTGGGCACTTTTTCCGGTAACACTCACTTCAAAACCCTGGAATTCACTGTCACTGACATTTTCATTGCTGTTAGAGCTATCACTTGGGAACAAAAGACCTCCAATCCGCCGAGGAGTGAGGAACTTCTTACCGAGAGGCATGGTGAAAATGGACTAACAACATGGCATTCCCACAATGCACCGCTGGGTCCCAGATTTTTTTCACAGGGTGCACACCAACCACTGAGACCCATTCTCTCTCATGTAGGCCTACCAGGCCTTTCGCGCTTGATTTGAAGCCGCTAGAATTTGTGCATATAAATACGTCAGAAACATTGGCTCGTAAGACGTATTTATACGTCGGAAACAGTCAAAGGGTTAAACTTAACATTTCATGTGGTAAAAAAATTTTTTTTCATACTTTTGGGAGTCTTGCACGAATTAATTTGATTTCCATTATTTCTTATGGGGAAAATTAATTCGCTTTTCGATATTTTCGGTATTCGATAAGCTCTCAGGAATGGATTAATATCGAATACCGGGGATCCACTGTACTGGTTGACCATCACTAATCCGGCACCATTGGGAACTGTATTGTGCCGGATTAGTGATTTTGCCAGATTACAGAGTGGTTAGGTTAGAATACACTTAACCCAGCCAATATTTATGCATTGGCAATTTCACCCACTTTACGCCCTATTTTTGGCCCATTCCACTGTTCCAGTCTACCAAACTCAAAGCTATTTCACTAGTATTCCTTCTATTCTGTTGACTGAGTACAAGAAACCTCCCATTTACCTATTTCAGCTACCCAATAAAGTGGCCAGAAATTGGTAATTTGGCCAATTTCACACAAATTTCAAGAGATGGCAATTTCAAAATAGGGTCCAGAATAAACAGTGCAGACATTCCTGGTACTAAAATAAGATTTTCTCTGTTCAATAGTCCCGTTTCCAGGCTTCTCTTATATTATACTTGCTTTCCATTTTGAATTTTTATTCACACAAAAAATTAAAGATTTACTGATATGTAGACTACTGCATTATTGTAATAATTGTATAAATAATGTCAAGCCATTTGTGACTACGTATTAGACTAACCAGCTGAACACGTATTTGACGGTGGCACCATTTGTTTACCCTTGCACGTAGGCGAAAATCAAACATTTCCGCTAGTTTGAGCTCAATTTCAAGGTACTTTCTCTCGTGAAACTAATATATCTTCCATTCTATCAAATTAGATAAAAAAACACGAGAATACAACCATAAAGACCATATGAAAATACACCATTAAATCAGATTTACACCATAAACACGGTCGAAGTTTTTTTCTCATTATGCACTGCGTGCTGCAGGATATTTTTTTATATAGTGCACACTTACAACACAGACCTATTCTTTCATATGTAGGCCCAAATTTACCGGTCACAGCTTATCTGAGTGAGCTGAGTTCATGGCAACTGACAGTGGCTTCAAAGCCACCTTATATTTTATGGACAATGTATGGTGTATATGCTTTACACAACGAGAAGCATTTCTTTTATTTGTTGGAACCATGGCTAGGGCTAAGTGAGCAGGTTATAACAATAAATGGAAAAAAAGGAAATTGGAATAACTTAGGCAGCAAGTAGCACCACCAAAGAGTAGCAGCAGGTTGGTGTGGTGACCCTGCAAATTGAAATTATGCTAGTTGAAATTAGTGCCGGATTACTGATGGAACCACAGTACATGTATATACAAAAATGAATCAAGGCACTATGTAAAGTTAATAAGTATTTAATCATAAAATACAACCTCTCCTCACTTAACGATGGAGTTCCATTTCTAAGACCATGTCGGTAAACAAATTTGTCGCTAAGTGAGGAGCATGTTATAATGGTAGTGGGTTTGTGTCGACCATCTTTGATGTTGTTTTAATGTCACCTTTGCACCATTTATAACATTTCTGGTATACAGTGGACCCCCGCATAACGATTACCTCCGAATGCGACCAATTATGTAAGTGTAATTACGTAAGTGCGTTTGTACGTGTATGTTTGGGGGTCTGAAATGGAATAATCTACTTCACAGTATTCCTTATGGGAACAAATTCGGTCAGTAATGGCACCTGAACATACTTCTGGAGTGCAAAAATATCGTTAACCGGGGGTCCACTGTATTTTTAATTGTTTATACAGTAGTGTACTGTATACTGTAATAAAGAAAACAGAGGAAATCAGCTCTAATACAGTGGTCCCTCAATAATCGTCCGGCCTGAAAGTCGTCCATTTCAGAAATAGTCCTGTTTTTTCGTCAAAATATTGGCTTGGAAATGGTCCGGTAACTCGCTAATAGTCCTTCGTCCCGGACGCGTACTCACGGTCTGAGCGGCCTCGAGCCGCCTCGGCCTTTCCTTCCCAGCCAGTGTGCCATTGTTTACCAGTAAGCGACGGTCCCCTCACGTGCTCCAGCGAAATATTTCATAATATTTCATTTATTTTAGTGCTTGCAAGTTATTTAAGTGCTAAATAAGCTACCATGGCTCCAAAGAAAGCTCCTAGTGCCAAGCCTTTGGTAAAGAAGGTGAGAAATATGATTGAATTTAAGAAAAACATCATTGAAAAATATGATAGTGGTGTACGTGTGGGTGAACTGGCCAGGATGTATAACAAATCCCGTACAACCATATCTTCCATCATACCCAAGAAAAAGGAAATCAAGGACGCTGTTGTTGCAAAGGGGGTAAATACGCTGACAAAAATGAGATCACCAGTACTCGAAGATGTTGAGAAGCTATTATTGGTGTGGATAAATGAGAAACAATTAGCAGGAGACAGTCTTATGACGTCGCTTATTTGTGAAAAGGCTAGGCAGTTGCATGATGATTTGGTAAAGAAATTGCCTGCAACTAGTGATGATGTGAGTGAATTTAAGGCCAGCAAAGGCTGGTTTGAGAGATTTAAGAAGCGTACTGGCATACACAGTGTGGTAAGGCATGGTGAGGCTGCCAGTTCGGACCACAAGGCGGCTGAAAAATATGTGCATGAATTCCAGGAGAACATAGAGGCTGAAGGACTGAAACCTGAACAAGTGTTCAATTGTGACAAAACAGGCCTCTTTTGGAAGAAAATGCCAAAGAGGACCTTCATTACACAAGAGGAAAAGGCAATGCCAGGACACAACCCTATGAAAAAAAGGCTGACGCTAATGTTCTGTGCTAATGCTAGTGGGGATTTCAAAGTGAAGCCATTACTAGTGTACCATTCTTAAAATCCCAGTGTTCAGGAAAAACAATGTTATGAAGAGTAAATTGTGTGTGTTTTGGAAATCTAATAGTAAGGCATGGGTCACGAGGGAAATTTTTGTAGAGTGGTTCAATGAAGTGTCTGGCCCTAGTGTGAAGAATTACCTCCTGGAAAAGAAATTGGATCTCAAGTGCCTCCTAGTAATGGATAATGCACCTGCTCATCCTCCTAATTCTGAAGGAGTTTGGGTTCATCACAGTAAAGTTCTTGCCCCCGAATACCACTCCTCTCCTCCAGCCCATGGACCAGCAGGTCATTGCAAACTTTAAAAAACTCTACACCAAAGCAATGTTTGAAAGGCGCTTGAATGTGACCTCAGACACTCACTTGACCCTACGAGATTTTTGGAAAGAACATTTCAGTATTCTCCATTGCGTAAGCCTTATAGGTAAGGCTTGGGAGGGAGTGACTACCAGGACTTTGAACTCTGCTTGGAGAAAATTGTGGCCAGATTGTGTCCACAAGAGGGATTTTGAAGGGTTTGGGGCTGACCCTGATGAGCCTATGTCAGTTGTTAAATCCATTGCGGCACTGGGGACTTCCATGGGGTTGGATGTGAGTTTGGAGGATGTGGAAGAGTTGGTGGAGGACCACAACAAAGAGCTAACCACTGAGGAGCTGCAAGAGCTTCAGCAGGAACAGCAACAAATGGCAACTCTGAATCTTGCTGCAGAGGAGGAGGAAGAGAGATGGAGGAAGGTGCCTTTTTCAGAAATTAAGGAGATTTTTGAAATGTGGGGTAGGATGGAAAGATTTATGGAGAAACACCACCCAGAGAAGGATGTTGCAAGCCATATCGGCAACTTGTACAGTGACAGAGTCTTGGCCCATTTTAGGGAAGTTTTAAAGAGACACCAGAAACAGAGCTCTCTGGACAGTTTTTTTGTGAGACAGGACTCCAATGACTCTCAAGGTGGTCCTAGTGGCATTAAGAAACAGAGAAGAGAAGTAACCCAAGAAAAGCAATTGGTACCTGAGGTGTTGATGGAAGGGGATTCCCCTTCCAAACAGTAATTCATCCAATCAGTCTCATTCTCCAGTCTTCCATACACAAAGAAGAATCGCCAATAAAGGTAAGTGTTATTCTGTTAATGTTTAATTCATCATGTGCCACTGTATTGTTTATGTACTACATCTATATTTCATGTAAAAAAAATTTTTGTTTTAATGCTTCTGGGTGTCAGGAATGGATTAATTGAATTTACATTATTTCTTATGGGGAAAATTGATTCGTAAATCGTCCATTTCGATAATAGTCCCACTTCCAGGAATGGATTATGGACGATTATTGAGGGACCACTGTATACATTATTTAGGTATGCATACTGGTCAGAGAGCCCATTGTAAGTCCGAGTCATCGGTAAACGAATACGTCGCTAAGTGAGGAGAGGCTGTAAAGATTGAAAATTAATTTTACTGATCTTTTAGGCAGTACACTGACCATAATGAATCCTTCAGAATAAATTCAACTTACTTGAATGGTTTGATACCAGTATGCACAAAGGAGTGCGTACTCAAATGTTGCTGCTTCTTAAACGTCTGCGAGCAATGTTCACACTTGTACCGGTTACGCACGTGATATCGGAAGTGGTGTTTCTTCAGAGAATAAACATTGCTAAATAATTTTTCACATTTGTCACATCTAACAAAACAAGAAAAAATATAAATATTAAAATAATCTATTGAAAATAAGAGAAACACACAGTACATACAGAGACTTCATTCTAAAAGAGCATAGCGTCATGACTAGAAATGTGACAGAATACATATTACATGGGCTCAGAGTAGCACTTTTGACAGATAAAATGACTGTTTTTAATAGCTCATGTAATAAAAATGTGTAGCCTTTATACGCTTACTTTAATTTCTCTTCAGACTTCTCCTGATGTCCAGTTTCCATGTGTCTTTTGAGATGTTGTTGTCGAGTGTATGACCGTGGGCACCATGCTACAGGGCATACATAAGGTCGCTGCAAGCACAAGGTAATGAGTGATTGAGTAAGCCAATAAGGAGTAAGAAAGATACCAATTTTTGCAGGGAAAACCCTTATTATGACACTGTTCAGGACAAGACTTCATCAAGTATAAAAAAAAAAAAAACAGATACATGGCACCATGGAATCACAAGTGAGGTCATGGGTCAAACAATATGCATATTAGGCACTGATTTACAAGTGGGGGGAATAAAGTGCAGCATCAGGTTCAAAAAAAAAAATGATTTGAGTCAGTATAATGATAAAATTTGAAATTATTCTAGCCAAAATTAGTGCTGGATTACTGATGGAACTGGATAACTGGTTGCCAGATTAGTGATGGCTGACCTGTGGTAACTTTTCCTGTTATTCTTTTATCATGCATTTTGTGTGCTATTACACCATGGTCACACTTGTCGAAGGCTTTCGCAGTCTGGGTATACTACATCTGTATTTTGTTTGTCCTACAGAGCATCTAAGACCATGTCATAGTGGTCCAGTAGTTGGAACAGGCAAGAGCAACCTGCTCTAAACCCATATTGCCCTGGGTTGTGTAAGTGATGGGTATCAAAATGGGTAGCAATCTTGCTTCTTAGAACCCTTTCAAAGATTTTTATGATGTGGGACATTACCTGGAGTTTACCTGGAGAGAGTTCCGGGGGTCAACGCCCCCGTGGCCCGGTCTGTGACCAAGCCTCATGGTGGATCAGGGCCTGATCAACCAGGCTGTTACTGCTGGCTGCACGCAATCCAACGTATGAACCACAGCCCGGCTGGTCAGGTACCAACTTTAGGTGCTTGTCCAGTGCCTGCTTGAAGACAGCCAGGGGTCTATTGGTAATCCCCCTTATATATGCTGGGAGGCAGCTGAACAGTCTTGGGCCCCGGACACTTATTGTGTTGTCTCTTAATGTGCTAGTGACACCCCTGCTTTTACTTGGCGGGATGCTGCATCGTCTGCTGAGGCTTTTGCTTTCGTAGGGAGTGATTTTCATGTGCAAGTTTGGTACTAGTCCTTCTAGGATTTTCCAGGTGTATATAATCATGTATCTCTCCCGCCTGCATTCCAGGGAGTACAGGTTCAGGAACTTCAAGCGCTCCCAGTAACTGAGGTGTTTTATCTCAGTTATGTGTGCCATGCAGGTTCTCTGTACATTTTCTAGGTCAACAATTTCACCTGCCTTGAAAGGTGCTGTTAGTATGCAGCAATATTCCAGCCTAGATAGAACAAGAAACCTGAAGAGTGTCATCATGGGCTTGGCTTCCCTAGTTTTAAAGGTTTGCATTATCCATCCTGTCATTTTTCTAGCAGATGCAATTGATACAATGTTATGGTCCTTGAAGGTGAGATCCTATAACATTATCACTCCCAGGTCTTTGACGTTAGTTTTTCGCTCTATTGTGTGGTTGGAATTTGTTTTATACTCTGATGAAGTTTTAATTTCCTCATGCTTACCATATCGGAGTAATTGAAATTTCTCATCGTTGAACTTCATATTGTTTTCTGCAGCCCACTGAAAGATTTGGTTGATGTTTGCCTCGAGCCTTGCACTGTCTGCAATGGAAGACACTGTCATGCAGATTCGGGTGTCATCTGCAAAGGAAGACACGGTGCTGTGGCTTACATCACTGTCTATGTCAGATATGAGGATGAGGAACAAGTTGGGAGCGAGTACTGTGCCTTGCGGAACAGAGCTTTTCACCGTAGCTGCCTCGGACTTTACTCTGTTGACTACTACTATTTGTGTTCTCTTTATCAGGAAATTGGTCTGTAATTCTTTCCAATTTCTTTACTGCTACCTTTGTGGAGTGACTCTATGTTTGTTGTTTTTAGTGACTGTGGGATGACTGCTGTGTCCATGCTCTCTCCACAGAATCCTGAAATAAATAATTTGAATCCAAACTTTGTGACACTCAGGACAACACAAGAAAGAGTCAGTATGTCATCAAGACTGTCTGTCTTATTTCCATTGGGGTCATTCAATCTTGTCCCTCAGGATGCAACCCACAACAGTCGACTAACACTCAGGTACCTACTTACTGCAAGATGAACAGGGACAGTAGGTGTAAGGAAACATGCTCAGTGTGTTCACCCATGCCGAGGTTTGCATCGCTTTGTGTGTGACCAGTAGTAACATCTAGGTTGATCAGACGTCAAGGGTGCACTGACCCCCTAAACACCCTCCAGATATACAGACACATAGGGTGGTTGAGATTCAAAAAATAGAGTAGGTTAGCTGTAGCAAAGAAATTTACAATATGAAGTGACACATTTCAAGTAATGGTATGAAACATTCTACAATTTACATTAAGTTTATATCAGCCAATGATGTGCCTTTCATTAAGTGATAAAATTATATTGGCTATGCAATGAAGACAACTATATTTTGGGTGTAACAAAAGAAAGTTTTTAGGTATCCTAAAAGAATAACCATAACTAACATAACCTAGAATTTACCTCTAAATGCAGGATAGGTTAGATTATGGATTTTTTTTGTTTTGCCTACTAATAAGTGAATCTTCCCTATACAACAGAAAGAATGCAGATGTAATATATACAGACTTTGCAAAAGCCTTCGGCAAGTGTGACCATGGCGTAATAGCGCACAAAATGCATGCTAAAGGAATAACGGGAAAAGTCGGTCGATGGATCTATAATTTCCTCACTAACAGAACACAGAGAGTAGTAGTCAACAGAGTAAAGCCCGAGGCAGCTACGGTGAAAAGCTCTGTTCCACAAGGCACAGTACTCGCTCCCATCTTGTTCCTCATCCTCATATCTGACATAGACAAGGATGTCAACCACAGCACCGTGTCTTCCTTTGCAGATGACACCCGAATCTGCATGACAGTGTCTTCCATTGCAGACACTGCAAGGCTCCAGGCAGACATCAACCAAATCTTTCAGTGGGCTGCAGAAAACAATATGAAGTTTAACGATGAGAAATTTCAATTACTCAGATATGGCAAACACAAGGAAATTAAATCTTCATCAGAGTACAAAACAAATTCTGGACACAAAATAGAGCGAAACACCAACGTCAAAGACCTGGGAGTGATCATGTCGGAGGATCTCACATTCAAGGACCATAACATTGTATCAATCGCATCTGCTAGAAAAATGGCAGGATGGATATTGAGAACCTTCAAAACTAGGGAGGCCAAGCCCATGATGACACTCTTCAGGTCACTTGTTCTATCTAGGCTGGAATATTGCTGCACACTAACAGCACCTTTCAAGGCAGGTGAAATTGCTGACCTAGAAAATGTACAGAGAACCTTCACGGCGCGCATAACGGAGATAAAACACCTCAATTACTGGGAGCGCTTGAGGTTCCTGAACCTGTATTCCCTGGAATGCAGGCGGGAGAGATACATGATTATATACACCTGGAAAATCCTAGAGGGACTAGTACCGAACTTGCACAGGAAAATCACTCACTACGAAAGCAAAAGACTTGGCAGACGATGCAACATCCCCCAATGAAAAGCAGGGGTGTCACTAGCACGTTAAGAGACCATACAATAAGTGTCAGGGGCCCGAGACTGTTCAACTGCCTCCCAGCACACATAAGGGGGATTACCAACAGACCCCTGGCAGTCTTCAAGCTGGCACTGGACAAGCACGTAAAGTCAGTTCCTGATCAGCCGGGCTGTGGCTCGTACGTTGGTTTGCGTGCAGCCAGCAGCAACAGCCTGGTTGATCAGGCTCTGATCCACCAGGAGGCCTGGTCACAGACCGGGCCGCGGGGGTGTTGATCCCCGGAACTCTCTCCAGGTAAACTCCAGGTAGTGACACCCCTGCTTTTCATTGGGGGGATGTTGCATCGTCTGCCAAGTCTTTTTGCTTTCGTAGTGAGTGATTTTCATGTGCAAGTTCGGTACTAGTCCCTCTAGGATTTTCCAGGTGTATATAATCATGTATCTCTCCCGCCTGCATTCCAGGGAATACAGGTTCAGGAACCTCAAGCGCTCCCAGTAATTGAGGTGTTTTATCTCCGTTATGCGCGCCGTGAAAGTTCTCTGTACATTTTCTAGGTCGGCAATTTCACCTGCCTTGAAAGGTGCTGTTAGTGTGCAGCAATATTCCAGCCTAGATAGAACAAGTGACCTGAAGAGTGTCATCATGGGCTTGGCCTCCCTAGTTTTGAAGGTTCTCATTATCCATCCTGTCATTTTTCTAGCAGATGCGATTGATACAATGTTATGGTCCTTGAAGGTGAGATCCTCCGACATGATCACTCCCAGTTCTTTGACGTTGGTGTTTCGCTCTATTTTGTGGCCAGAATTTGTTTTGTACTCTGATGAAGATTTAATTTCCTCATGTTTACCATATCTGAGTAATTGAAATTTCTCATCGTTGAACTTCATATTGTTTTCTGCAGCCCACTGAAAGATTTGGTTGATGTCCGCCTGGAGCTTTGCAGTGTCTGCAATGGATGACACTGTCATGCAGATTCGGGTGTCATCTGCAAAGGAAGACACGGTGCTGTGGCTGACATCCTTGTCTATGTCGGATATGAGGATGAGGAACAAGATGGGAGCAAGTACTGTGCCTTGTGGAACAGAGCTTTTCACCGTAGCTGCCTCGGACTTTACTCTGTTGACGACTACTCTCTGTGTTCTGTTAGTGAGGAAATTATAGATCCATCGACCGACTTTTCCTGTTATTCCTTTAGCACGCATTTTGTGCGCTATTACGCCATGGTCACACTTGTCGAAGGCTTTTGCAAAGTCTGTATATATTACATCTGCATTCTTTTTGTCTTCTACTGCATCTAGGACCTTGTCGTAGTGATCCAATAGTTGAGACAGACAGGAGCGACCTGTTCTAAACCCATGTTGCCTTGGTTGTGTAACTGATGGGTTTCTAGATGGGTGGTGATCTTGCTTCTTAGGACCCTTTCAAAGATTTTTATGATATGGGATGTTAGTGCTATTGGTCTATAGTTCTTTGCTGTTGCTTTACTGCCCCCTTTGTGGAGTGGGGCTATGTC